ATAGAAGAAGCTTATATTTTCTCTCCTTAGCTATTTCCTTAGAAAAAGTATGTTTACACACAAACACACACACACCAAGAAATCTCCATTGACAGCAACAAAATTTTTTTCTCTTTTTCTACAATCTCTAGAATTCAAAGGAAAGGTGGGTTTCAAAGCAAATGATTAAGGGGGAACTTTAAAACTTTATTTAGATTCTTGATTAGGATTCAATCCCTTTATCTGTTCATATTAGAGACTGCAAAAATAAATTCTAAATAGTTTCCAGGCCTTTAATACAGTGGTGAAATGTAAAATTTGTTGCTACTGATTCTGTGGGCATGGCTTGTCCGGGGATGCCAGCTGAGTTGCCCCATCGGCAGAGGCTTTTTTTTCTTTTAAAAACATTTTTTCTACAACCTCTTTGGCTGAAGAGGTTATTTAAAAAGTGCTTTTAAAAGCCTCCGACAATCAGGCAACTCAGCTGGGATCGTCAGAGGCTTTTAAAAACATTTTTTCTCTTTCGGCCAAAGAGGTTGTTTAAAAAATGCTTTTAAAAGCCTCTGACGATCCCAGCTGAGCCACACGATCATCAGAGGCTTTTTTTTTTTTACTTTTAAAAGCAGAGGTTGTAGAAAAAAATGCTTTTAAAAATTAAAAAAAAAGTCTCTGATGATCGCACGGCTCAGCTGGGCATGGGGTGGGAGGGATTTTTGTTACCGGTTCTCCGAACTACCCACCGCTATCGCTACTGGATCGGGCGATCCAATCTGAACCGGGAGCATTTCATCCCTACTTTAATATATTATATAGATTAGCCTTCAAATGGAGGTGAGAGATTATTGAAGGCTGAACATAATTTTGAGAACTCAGACTTCTAAAAAGGATCAGTGGGCACCTGCTAATCCTAACTTTTTCCTCCTCCAGGAGCCTCTAATAAATGTTTGTTTGTTTGTTTGTTCGTTCGTTTGTTTATGTTAAACATGTACAAGATAACAGGTATAAGTATAAACATCTAATTAGCTTAGCTGATTTATTAATTACTTAATCTTTGTCATGGCACCTGCCACTGGAGCATCATTTTCTCAAGATCCATTTGGCCCCCTCTGCAGCCTTATTTAAACAAGCCCTTGCTCTGTGCTCAGGCCTTGCGTCAGAATGGAAATTGGAGTTCCTGTGTGATACTTTGATTGGTTATTTTCAGACTTTTTATTTGATTACCTAGTTCTTTGTTTTTCTTTCATTGGTTGTTTTGTTTTTCTGTTGATTGTATTCTGTAAGCTTTTCAGAGTTAGAACAGATTTGGGCAGTTTACAAGTCTCATAAATAAAGAAACTATTCTTGGAGATCCTTAAGTTGTCAATGAGAGGATGTTATGATATGCAATTTGAAAACTGCAGTCTTCAGTTTTCCTTCCATAATAGTTTCTAGTCTTACATAAAACAAGCACTGAGTTACTTGATATAGTGATTGGCTCTCGTACCATCCTCATGACTTCGATATAGCCCCCAGTATAGCATAATATTGTTGACAGTGCATAAAACAATTCAGCATTTTTAAAATACTGATTTTGAAACATGCCCTTAAAATTCTGATCTTGTTTACTTTTCAACAGCAATGGACAGAACACTTGCATCCTTCTCTAGAAATGTTTTAATAGAATCAGGGTTTTTTTCCCCAATGCCCTTTAAATTATTTTATTCATTTTATTCAAGAGCCTTGGTGGCGCAGTGGTTAGAGTGCAGTATTGCAGCCTACTTCTGCTGCCTGCTGGCTGCCTGCAATTTGACTGTTCAAATCCCACCAGGCTCAAGGTTGACTCAGCTTTCCATCCTTCTGAGGTCGGTAAAATGAGAACCCAGATTGTTGGGGGCTGACTCTGTAAACTGCTTAGAGAGAGCTGTAGAGCACTTTTTTAAAAAAAATTTGATTTATATGCCGCCCTTCTTCGGAGACTCAGGGCGGCTTACAATGCGTTAAGCAGTAGCCTTCATACTTTTGTATATTTATACAAAGTCAGCTTATTGCCCCCACAAACTGGGTCCTCATTTAACCTACCTTAGAAAGGATGAAGGGCTGAGTCAACCTTGAGCCTGGTGAGATTCGAACTTACAGTAATTGCAGACAGCTGGTGTTAATCACAATGCTTTTAGTCTGCTGAGCTACCAGGCCTGTATATAGCGGTATATAAGTCTAAGTGCCATTGCTATTGCTATTGCTATTTTATGTAAAAGTCACCTTTTTGCTTTGGCAAATAGTCAAGATGGGTTCTCACAGAGTTCAGAAAACTGAACTATGCAATAAATATAGCAACTGGTTAGTTTATTTCTATACTGATCTCATTTTTCATGTGATATACCCCACATAGTCCATGGTGACTGTTCTGTGAAACATCCAAATATTTGTGGGAATATATATCTATCTATTTATTTATTTATTTTGTCGCATTTCTATGCCGCCCAACTCCCAAGGGACTCTGGGCGGCTTACAGCAAAGAATAAAACAATGCGAACAATCCCATAAAAAAATATTAAAAAGAAAAACATTAAAACATTAAAAATTTTAAAAACGTTAAAACACATGCACTCCAATTCGTGGCCAGGTCTCGCAAGATCATTATAACGAGATCAACGGCCCCAGGCCTGCCAGAAGAGCCAGGTCTTCACCGCTTTTTGGAAGGTCAATAGGGTGGGGGTGGTCCGGACCTCAGGAGGTAATTGGTTCCAGAGAGCTGGGGCAGCCACAGAGAAGGCCCTCCCCCGTGGGCCCACCAGCCGACATTGTTTAGCTGACGGGACCCGGAGGAGACCGACTCTGTGGGATCTTACCGGTCGCTGGGAGCTATGTGGTAAAAGGCAGTCTCGAAGATAGCCTGGCCCTGAGCCATATAGGGCTTTAAAGGTAATGACCAACACCTTGACATCTAGTGATAGCCTTCGAGATATAGTGAAATTTAGAGTAATATTAATTTATTGTATTAACCTAATATTCATTTTTAAGGGACATGCCTTATGTAAAACTGCTTCAAATTCTAGTTGAATTGATTTCAGCTTCCCTAGAGTGTATGAAAGCACAGAAGGTTTTATGACAGAATATTCTAATTTTTGTCTTGGAAACTCCAGAAAATTCAAGGGGCAAGTGTCATTCAAAATTCTATTCTGTTTTATGTTTTGTCTTTTCTATTAAATGCATAGATATTTGCACTATTTTATTAAATATGAGAGGCTTTGGGCTTAAATTTGCATCTAATAGAATTACGAGAACTAACCCAAGAGTCATATCTGACAAAAACACTCAGGGTTGTCTTAAATGTTTGCTTCTCAATTTCATTTGCAAGTATTTTTCCCTTAAGGAAAGGTAGAAACATTTTCATTAGGCCAAAAACAAAAGGGGAATTGAAGTGTAGTAGCTATTATCATGCTCTTTGCCAGCCATTGCTTCTGTTGTTTATTTAGTAGTTCTCATTTATTTGTTTTTCCTAGTGGAGCAGATGATGGTTATTTTATTTTATTACAACAATCCATTGCATATAAAGGAATATAGAAAGATAGACCATGAACAAGAAATAGACATGATGTCATTGATTGGTTTTGGTTATATATATTTTCCCTATGCTTTTAAAATTTAAAGGCTCAACAGACTGGAGACCAAAACTGCTCTTTACGTTGAAGAAGTTCTTAGCAACTATGTCATTTTTTTTCTTTTAAATTATAAAATAAATTCAAAAGACCCAGTCCAAATTGGGAGTTGAAGTTTTAATTGTTTATCATTTGCTAGGTTTTTAATCCAGACTGGATGTACCATACATGAATTTGCATTATCAAAAAGTGATTAATTTATTTCAGTAAAAATAAATAAATAAATAATATCAATTGTGCTTCCCTTCTTCCTCTCCCCTCCCCCAATTTTTTTAAACCGGAATCACAGTAAAATCTATAGTTCTATAGTTTAACGTTCTTGTTAAAATCCCAACCTGGCTTGGATTCCTTATGCTGATTTTAGACTCTTTATTTTAAAAAAAGGTGCCAGGTGGGCCTTTAAAGTAATCTGCATTTTGGCCCTGAAGCTTTGACTTTGTTTCACACCTGAAGTATAAGACTGAAATTCTGGTTTGTTCTCAACTTCACTTTGATTATTTCCATTTCATGAAAAGTTAAATGAGAAGAGAAGATATTGAAGAAGCGGGAATACAGGCTGGAGAGAAAAGAATTAAACAGAAGCAATCTTTCCTTCTCTATTTTCATGTCATTCTTCATCTGTAAAGGGAATAATATAGTTTGGAAGAAATCTGTGAAATCCTATAGTCCAGCTGTCTGGTCAATGCAGGCTCTACTGTAAATGGAAACCACAGCTTAATCTCCTGTGAAACTACATTGCATGTCTTCATTAGCTAGAGTGATGTGACCAGTGTTCATTCACCCGCAACTCTGTAGTCATTCCCTGTCACATGTACAGAGTTGGTTAGATATACAAGAAAATTCTTAAAGCGTAAGGCACTGAAGAGGTATTTGACTCTTTAAAATTGCAATAATTCTGTTTATTATTATCCATAAATACAGTGTTTAAGGACTTGGCATCATCTATAACAAGGCTTTTGTAAAGGCTGCTTCAAACTATAGGCTAGTGTAAATTCTGAAGTTTAATTTGTATTGCTGGTGTCAAGGATAGAATTACTATTCTGAAAAATTAATTTGTGAAATCATTGTTTCATGCAGCATGGAAGACACTGAATTAAATTCAACCGAAAGCCTTTCAGTAGCAGGCCTGTTAGAAATCAGTGAGAAATGCACAACTGCACAACTCCCATTCATTTCAGTAATGCCCTCCATATTAGCATGAACCCTGATTATGATTCTTTCCATGATTAATTGTATTATTTTCCCACAAACCTTGAGGAATGGAACCTTGTTTTCTGAAACAGGGAATTCTGAGTCTAATATCAAGTCAACTAGAGTAAATATGCAAGTGCTAACTGATACTGCCTGATCTTGAGTTTGTTTCTTTCCCTTTGGTTGTCACAGGGAGGGATGATTGCCTTGCTGCTTTCCATCTTGTGTCTGGTTATGATTCTCTACACACGCCGGCGTTGGTGCAAGCGCCGTCGAGTGCCACAGCCCCAGAAGAGTGCCAGTGCTGAGGCAGCCAATGAAATTCACTACATCCCCTCAGTGCTGATTGGTGGCCACGGTCGTGAGAGTCTGCGGAATGCCCGAGTGCAAGGGCACAACTCCAGTGGAACTCTGAGCATCAGAGAGACTCCAATCCTAGATGGTTATGAATATGACATTACTGATCTGCGCCACCACTTACAGAGAGAATGCATGAACGGGGGTGAGGACTTTGCCAGCCAGATGACCAGAACACTGGACTCGCTACAGGGCTGTAATGAAAAATCGAGCATGGATCTAACCCCAGGTCATAATCAGCATATATTTTTTAACCTATAACTATGTGCGATTGGATAAGTTATTATGCATGTGTTTAGATGCCTTCGATGCACAGCTTATTTGACCTAATTTCTCAATATGAAATGCTGGTATTTTGTTTTCAGCCATATAATCCATCACTTTCCCATTATCTCTAGCAGGGCTAATTTCTGGCTACACAATTTGGATTGCCATATTATTTGGCTGCATGCCAGTGGAAGGTGACTTAGAATAGCATTAACTGTAATAAAGCAATAAGGAGGCGTTTGCTTCAAGGACAGCATGGAAAGAAGTAGGTTAGTTAATGAATTTTGACTGTTACCAAAGAACACGAAAGTGCTTAAAATTTACATTAGGGAATGTTTAATGATGTTTTCAGTGTGGTAAACAGAAATTTGAGTCAGTCTTTCTGTAGCCAGGCCAGGTTACTTGCTTTTATCAGCTTTTGTGTTTCAAGCAATATAAAAAGTCAAAAGACCTGGGCATAGACAATTTCTGATGATATGACAGTTGATAGACGGAAAGACAAATTTCTGCATTAGCTTCTATCTCAATATAATCATATTCAAGCTATTTGCTGTTGTGCAATTGTTTCTTTTTTTCTGTGTTAAAACTGACATGGGAGCACTTGAGGTAAGTGGAGGTCTCATGTGCCTGTTTTTGGCAGGGAGAGGAAAACTCTCTCTGGCTTCAGCAGGTGTTTGTATGCATGTATGTACTTCAGAGGATACAGAAGTATGAAGTAGTACTTGCTTTAAGATTGCCAGATTTCTGTTCCCATTTCCTCTGAAGCAACTTCTAGAGAACCAGACTGAAGTGCTGTATAGCCCTTATGCTTTGAACCTATAGTTGAAGCAGAAGATTAATTCCCTCTTCCCTCCTCTCTAAATGTTACGGTTTTGATTTGGTTTCTCTCTGTCCCACCCCCATTCCCAGGTTTTATTTTTTTTAAAAAGCCCTAATCATACAAGACCAAAGAAGTGACCATCAATGTCACTGCTTTTGCTCTGTGAATAGTGAAAAATTTCAGCAGGAGCATCCATAACAATTTGATTCAATTTTTGCAAAGCTATTCCCACAGGAACTTTTGTCTAGCTTAATTCTTACTTTAAGATAATCCTTTTGAATGCATTTATTGTTGGGATGTAGAGATATTGGGACAAAACCGCAAGCCTGCTCAAAACATACAGATGGTTGGTTACAGTAGAAGGATTTAACTTCTATTGCCAGATGGTCCACATCTAAAGACGTTCCAAATATTAATGCTTGGATAACTGGAAATGAATATTTTTTTCTTATTATTATTCCTATTCTTTTCTCATTTCCCTCTTTTCCCTCTTTTTCTCAAAGTTTCTACCTTAATTTTTTCTTGTTAGGAAGTGACAATGCTAAACTCTCCTTGATGAACAAGTACAAGGATAATATCATTGCTACCAGTCCTGTGGATTCCAACCATCAACAGGCAACTCTGTTGTCTCATACATCTAGCAGTCAACGCAAACGGATCAATAACAAATCACGAGGTACCATCTAGAGCTTTTTCCTGACAATGGATGGGATGGGATGGGATGGGGCAGATTGCAGTCTGTAAGGTGATTAAATAGATGGGCAACCTTGAAATAGATCTAAGGGTGTACTTAGTCCATCTGTTTCCATCAATAGCTAGGAAACATGCAAGGGTTGGGTCTACACATCACATTAAGCCATGGAATCAAGAGATGCATCTTAGATTAGGCTGAGAGCCACAGTAGAATTTAAATGGTGTGCCTGGGGCTTTACTCAGAGCCAGAGGGGGCCAGGACTACAGATCAAAATTATAACAATAATGAGATTGTATAATTAATTACTTAAATTAATTACTTAAGAGCCTTGGTAGTACAGTGGTCTAAGGCACCCTATTATTAAGCTGGTTATTAAGACCAGCTGCCTGCAATTACTGCAGGTTCGAATCTCGCCAAGGCTCAAGGTTGACTCAGCCTTCCATCCTTTCTAAGGTAGGTAAATTGAGAACCCAGTTGTGGGGGCAATAAGCTGACTTTGTATAAATATACAAAAGGATGAAGGCTATTGCTGAGCACATTGTAAACCGCCCTGAGTCTCCGGAGAAGGGCGGCATATAAATCAAATTAAAAATAATAATAATAATAATAATAAAACCCCCACAATTTTCTTCCACCTATGTGAACTTTTAGCTATTTTGCACATTCTACCCATGCAATTATTTTGTTTTTAGAGGCATCCAGGATTGTACTGTTAAAACATATAGCAAGTTTGGTCAGTTTGCTAACCAACAGTTTGATCACAGCCAGTTTAGTCTAGTAGTTAAGGCAATGGACTAAAAAACAAGAGACTGTGAGTTCAAGTCCCATCTTAGTTATGAAAGCCAGCTATGTGACCTTGTGCCATACCCTCATCCCAATTTACAGAGTTGTTGTTTTAGGGAAAATAGGAGTAAGAAGAATATTAGGTATGTTCACCACCTTGATTTACTTATGAAAATAATCAAGGAGGGATAAATAAATAAATGTAGCATTATAGGAAGTGTTCCACTCTTGTAAGAGCCTCCTTTTACTACCACTTTGCCTATCACTGCAGTCGATTTACCGAGGAAGAAAGGGAAACAGTCTGAGTAATTGAAACAGCAACAGCTTACATAAAACAGTCACTGTGCTGTTTTTCCTCCTTCCTCCAGGGGTGGGTTCTACTTACCTTTACTACCGGTTCACAGTGGGGCCGCGCACGCGTGCTCCCTTCACTCACACACATGTGCGCTCTTCTGTGCAAGTGCAGAAGCATTTTTATGACGTCTGGGTCGGTGAGAGGAGCCTCCCGCCGTTTTACTACCGGTTCTATAGAACCGGTGTGAACCAGGGGAAACCCACCACTGCCTTCCTCCTACAGATGGCTGTAGAGATGAGAATAGGAGGGAAAGGAAGGTTAGGTGGGAGCAATGAGGAAGTGAGCAGATGAAGCAATAGATTGAAAAAGCTGCCCATCCTACCATGATTTGCAAAAACTCTTGTGTATTGTCAAGGTGTGGTACTGACTAAGGAATTTCCGGGGCTTCATGAAAGCCTTGAGACATTCATGTGGTCTGTAGTTTGCCTACTTGTAGTTTAACATGATATGTCAACCCAGACTTTGGTTAGATAGTTGAATTCTAGTTAAATAATTAGATACTCTAATTATGGCCTTTTCTTAGCTTACTTTTTAAAATCCCTGGTATGTGAGCCTATTGAATGGAAAAGAATGAGCAGAAAAGGTTGCAAAATCTTCCAGTTTGTCATTTCCCAGGCCCCTATGACTATTCCTAAGATACTTTTTCACTTGCTGGAAAAAATATAGGTGTTAAAAAAACAACTGAAGCGGGGTTGATCTTGAGCTGAAATAATGAGAAAGAAAAAGTTAAGAACTACTTTGCAAAAATCCTTGTTTTGTTTCCTTGCTTCAAAAAAGAAAAGTGACAGGGGAGGAAAAACCAATTACTCTGGGCAACATGCAGATTGATAATCAAAAGACCAACCAGAAGCATATATAAAACCCAGTCAAATTTCAGTGGAAGTCTGTGCCTCTCCGCTATTCTGTGCTGTCCAGCTTTTTTCCCTTGGAGACTTTTGCATAGTAGTTCTGTCCCAATCAATCTCATCTGGAAGCCGACTGAGGGTTTTTACTGTTGTAGGTTCCAAAGACAGAATAGGAATTTTATTGACAAGATGCTTGCCTTGGTGCTGAGCATCTTTCCTGCTCAACTGGCAGAGGTGATGTCTTGAGTTTCATTACAAGCATCCTGGGAATCTTAGGCATTCATGTCAAGTCTGTTATTGACTCAGTATATATTGCAGTCATGTTTTAATGCTGGTTTTTGGAATACGACTGATTCCTAGTGATTGCTGAGTTAAGTGCCTTTTGTCATGAACGGGTCATTTCAGGTGAGAATTGAGCTGGACAAACTGGATCTTGAGATATAAAGAAGCTAAGAGATCCCTGAACATTCTGGGGCATTTTCTTAGGGCATTAGATGGCAATTTTGCCACAGTTCCAATCTCACCATACGATAGTAAGCTGAAAAGGCCCTCTATTACTCCTGAGCACTTTTTCTACTTATAGGTTGCCCAAAAACCTCTTATTTTAACTGAAGAACTCCAGGCACTGAAGCAAATTGGTTGAGGGATGGTTTAAGTTCAATAACAGTCACTATCCAGAACTGAATAGAATAGAAGTAGTTGTAATAAATGCAGTAAATAAATAATCAATTCAAATTGATCATCAAATGGACACCTCAGGGCATACAATTGTACCTTTTGCATGGAAATGGTTAGAGTGAAGAGGATTTGACTTTCTATCATCAATGCATCTTCCAAGAACTGCCTAGCCAAGCTTCTAGGATGCCAACAGAACAGGTGTGTGGCTTGGAGCATCTCCTTGACGCAGGTTGGTCATTAATGGGGCAATTGGACTAACCAATATGCTAGTTGCAATCCTGCCTTGATTTGAGACGCCTCAGCCTCAATGAGCTCCATCATAATGACCTCTTATCTGGATTACATCATGTAAGAGTTACCCCTAAAGATACTCTAATAACAAAATGTAGCTGCTGAATTTTAAATTAGCTGGCTAAGTGGGATCATATAATACCAGTTTTTGCTGCATCCAAATAAGCAGCAAATTATTAATTAAGTGCCTCTGCTAGGGCATGGTCCAGCCACAATTAAAATTAACAAGTAAAACTAAATCTAATAACAAAAAATGATAAAAAATAACACTTCTGTCTATGTCCAAAATCATCTAACTTGACTAGGAAGATTTATAACAAATCATCTGTCATCTGTCTATACCAATTGCCATTCTCAGTATCTATTCACAGCCACTTCTACCAGTCAATCTGTTTTATTAGATGAGTATGTTTTCAAAACTTTCTTAAATGTATCCAAAGATGTGTGGAGCCAGAGTAGAGAGAGAAGAGAATTCCATAATTGTTTGTATGTCCATTGTATTTTAAAATATTGCCCAAGAATCAATCAGCTGTAGAAACTACTTGTGATTCTGTTTGTGGGCTTGGCTCATAGAATGGTGATCAGACACTCAACCATTTCATTGGCAAAACCCCAGTGTTGCAATTCTGTATTGTGAGATGACTACTGTCTTCTTCAAAAAAATAAAATAAAATACACACCTGTCCTCTCAAGCATTTATAGAGAGGCAATTTCTCAGTAAACACCAGATTGATTTGGCTACAATCTGCTTTCCTTTTTTATCAAAATAATGTTTCTTTTAATTTTTGTCCTTATTGCTGGCTTTAACTCTGCTGACTGGATTTGAGATTTCTTTTCCTGTTTTAGACCATATATATTCTCTGGGAGGAAGGGAATTAAATAAATGAGATATACCTTTGCTGTAAAGAGGTAAGAATGCGAGGTGGGATACAAGAATAGCTAATTTAGGATATTTTTTTTGTCTTTATTTTTCAACCTAGCTGGTTCTGCATTTCTGAACCCTGAAGGAGATTCTGGGACAGAAGCAGACAATGACCCCCAACTGGCCTTTTACACAGATCCATCACGGAGCAGGCGGCGCAGTAGAGGTAAGCAACACCATGAGCAGGGAGTAGCAAGTACATTAACAAGAATGTGGAATGGCTAAAGGGATTGTGGTGCTAGAGGTCCTTCAAGACTAAGCATGTCTCTCAGCATATTTTAATCATGTGTCGTTTGTGCATGCTTAAATAGCGGTAACTCCTTCCCTCCTGTATTTTCTCATTATGGGGCAAGCAACACTATCCATTATCCACTGATGTTAATATTAGTTAAGAAGATTTTTTTTTAAATCTTTGCATTTGTTCACTCCCAATGCTATGGAGAAGAAGTGGATAATTCTGTCATCCTTTTCTTCAGTGCATGAGTTGATACAGCAAAGGTTTCCTCAGATGGAAAAAACACTACTCAAGGGTAAAATGGATATAAGCTTAAAAACAAAAACAAAAACAGAAAATCCTGAATAATTTGGAAAGCCTAAATAATTTGAAGCCCTTCTTTTAAAAAAGACTCCCAGCAGAACTGACACAATCCATCTATTTTCTAGACCAATAAACACATTCCTTTGATAGATTTTTCTCTGCATGAGCTGCTTGGATGAGATCTCTGAAAAACCAGCCCTGTTTGCATGTTATGCATCCCTAAGGCACTTAACCGCACTGTCAAGGAGTTGGTTGTCATGGAGAAACTAACCCATTAAAAGAATGGAGTGGGAAGGAGGGATTAAATATTTTTAAAAGTATACATGTTTTCCTTTGAACCAGGATCTTTTCTGGCCAGGCACTATACATATAGGTTCTCCCACTTAGTGACTTGCAGACTGACCCCGTGTAACAAAATTCAGAAGGACCTAAAAAATGTGCTAAATATCTGGTGTCTCTCAAGCATTTTCTTTGCTCTCTACTGTAATAATTGGGCAGAAATGGAAATTACTCAGCTACGTTGGGGTGCCTCAAAAGCAGCTGGCCAAATAGTGATATAGATAATGCCCTTGGACAATGTTGTGGCATTATCCAAGGAAATGTACCAAATGTACCAAAGATTCTGGGTTGGTTCTACAGACTGATTGCATTGAATGAAAGTTACCTGGACTCCCTTTGGGGAAAGACAGAGCTCTACGTTATTTGCAAATACTGTGTGTCAAGCTCTGTAAGGGTGGCAAGTTCAGAAAACTAGAACCAATTGGTTTTCTAAAAAAGTAGGGTAATGTAGCAAAATCTTGAAAGCCCAGCAAAGTAGTTGTTCTGTACAATTTATGTAATTAAGGCAAATTTACTCTGAATTTCTTTCTTAAATTTCCCCCCCTCCCTGGATTAAAAAAATCACTTCTGCTATCCCTCTGTTTCCTTTCTTAACTATCTTCCTGCTTTTTCTGTATTTCCAAGGTCTGTTAAGGCATTCCACCACCTTGTGCTATCTATCTGGAGAAATATGTGTTGATCCTTTCAGCAAATATGCTACAAATCAAATTCAAGATATCAGTGATCCCTAGCTGGTCAGGTCTCCAGTGCAAAAGCAGCCAACTATTTTGAGGGGATTGGCTTTCTCTTTAATCTTCCATCATGTTTCCCATTTAACATTTTATCTGTGATTAAGCAAAGGTAGAGACAGTAAGATATATTCTTTTGTTTTGCTAACTATATAGAAATCTAGACCTTAATTTAATTATAGTACTTTTATTCTAGTGATAAACCAGGCAGGTCAGATGAATTATATGTACCTTCTCTTCTATCAGACTACATTCTAGCAATTTCTGAGACAGTAGTTGAGAGTCATGCCATTCCTTTTATGACTTTTACGACTCTCAGTAAGTACTCAAAACAATTCAATCAACTCTCTGGTTATTTTGTGCTGAATTTAAGATGGTATCGTCTTTTTTCTTTCTCCTTCATATTTTGTTTTACCTCTTATGCTGGCCTAAGGCTGCAATAAAGTAACTCAATAAAGATCCAAAACGCAGACGCAGTGCAGAATAAGAGACAGATAGGCAAGCTGTTGACACTCAGTGATATTACATTATGACCTGCCTGGTGCTTGAGGGGGTCATACTAACCTTGACCTATGAGGGATAGAAATCTTTTTATGGCTCTCCTAGATCGTATACAAGCAGTCCTCATTTAGCAACTGCCTCATACAGTAGCAATTTGCAGTTATGATGGTGATGAAAAAGTCCTCACATTTACAATATTTGCAGAACTGCAAAGCAAAGGAAAGCTGAAATAAAGAAGAATAGTTGCAGTTTCACTTAGTGACTTCTTCACTTAATGACTGAATTGCCACTCTGAACAAGGATTACCTGTATTTTCTATGTTTTGTGAGGAAGACTAGGGATTTAAAAGAAGTTATTTGTTGATACATACAGCTTCACTATTAATTTCAGCACTCAGGTTAGTTTGGGTAGATGTAATTATTTGGAATCATATACTGAAGATAAGAAGTAGAGGTGTCACACTGTGTTTTTCTGAGACTATTTAGCATAATACATATTAAGCAGAAGATAAGTTTACATAGCTGTGCAACAAAAATATATTAGCCACTAGGCTACATCTGTGTTCAAAATTGTAGAAAAAACAATACGGTTATTTTTGAATATATAATTATAATAGCATTACCTATACAGATTATTCCTTTTCTATTTTAACAAACGGATTTGAAACTGTTGAGGTATCAATAAATAATATGACTATAAGCATTCTGATCTATCCTTTCCAAATGCAGTCCTTTGTTATCATTTTTAATGGTTGATTCAGTCTATTCATCGACAACCAAAAATCTCTTTGTTGAAAGACAAAATAATTTTTCATTATCCCAGCCCAGTGCTCAGGCATCAGATTGGAGAAGATTAATATAGATTATGTATATGAATTCACAAATGGTTTCAGAGAAGAAAATTACATAGGAAAGCAGTGTTGTCATTGTTTCAGCTTTTACCTTCTAAAGTCTTTCAGCTCTCCACTGATGTGGTTAAGGATACATTTTTGAGCAGGATAAGCAGTATATGATTCTTTTGACTCAGAAAGTGCCCAGTTTTAGTTATCTGGAAGCCAGCCATCTGACCATCTGGATTTCAACTGCTTTCTCATTTTTGGAGAAGAGATTATGCATGGGAAGTATTTAGGCAGAAATCTGCTTTCTGTGCTTAAAAATCTTATCTAAATTCCTATCTATCTATCTATCTATCTATCTATCTATCTATCTATCTATCTATCTATCTAATCTCTGCCCATTGCACAGAAGCAACTCTGGGCATTGTATACCAGAATGACTCTTAAGAGCTATAAGGTAAAGATCTGAAAAACACTAATGCAATTGCAACATTTTTCTAATGATATTATTAAATTGCCATTGTTGACCTTGTCAGTAGTTTGACTGTCCTGAAAATTGGCATTATACAGTATCATTACATGTTACATTTATATAACAATAACACACAACATCTGGACTATTAATACATTAAATTTTGATGAGTACTTGTGCATATATACACAAAAAGATACAAACAGGGAGTGTATAAGTGTACATGTATAGATCCAGGTTCAAACATTTATTATCTATTAAGACATTGGAGAGAAGAGATAGGGTGTTCACCACTGTTATGAAGAGTCTCCTCATATTGTATATTCAAGTGCTTTAGAATAAGTGTTTAGAATAGGTTCTTGTAAAAGAAACAGAGTAGTGGAAGGGAACAGTTTGGGAATAAGAAGATGTTGACAGTGGTTTGATAGCATAAGAAGATGCTATCAGGACTGAATAAAGAATAATAAAGTCAGGAAAAAAATATTGCTAGATATATTCCTGGTTTCTCAAATATTTCACAGTATTTTTTTTAACTGAAAGGTAATAAAGTGAACATTAGAAGAATAAGGTTTTTAAAGATTAGATATATTGAAAAGAAATGTAAGCTAAGTAATCAAAATCATAGTAGACTGGAACTGAGTCAACAAAGCCTTTTATAGATTTCTTTTTTTAAAAAAACCCTACCTTTATTATTTTTATAAGTAATTGAAGGTGGCGAACTTATCTAATACTCCTTCCTCTTTCTATTTTCTTCACGACAACTCTGTGAGATGAGTTAGGCTGAGAGGGTGACTAGCCCAAAATCACCCAACTGGCTTTCATGCCTAAAGTGGAATTAGAACTCACAGTCTTCTGATTTTTAAGAAAGGAATTAAAGCACAGATTTATAGTAGAACAAACTTAGGCACAGGTAGTAACTTCTCATGAGTTTTAATGAAAACTAGTATGATGATAGTAAAGACATGATGGATAATTATAGTAATATAATTATAGTATATTATATACTATAATATAATTATAGTAATATAACTCCTGAATGAAGAAGAAATCAGAATATGGGCTTGAGGAATTTTCCAGGAGAGTTATCAAGAATGAGAGGTAGCTGAATGAATATTTGAAATTTGGTTGGGCAGCAGCATTCTCTTCCTCCTCACAATCCTGAAGGGATCGCTACAGCTCTTCAGCTGCAATAGTACACACTACTTAGGTGTACTGTATATAAAAGGTAGCAGCAGAAAAAAATGGTAAGCCCTCTTTGCTTTATAAAGAAAACATTCGAGATGCTGATTATAAAAGAGACATCTGGTCAAGGCAAGGGCAACATCCATGGCTTAGGCCCAGGATATTTGTCGGACCATCTGCAACCAGCAACAGCTTCCCATCGCCCGGTGCATTCTCACAGGGAGGGCCTACTCAGGGTGCTGTCAGCTAGACAATGTCGGCTGGTGGCCTCCCAGCTTTCTGTGTAGGCGCACCCACCCTTTGGAATCAACTCCCCCTGGGGCTCCGGTTGGCCTCTGCCCTTCGCACTTTCCGCCGCGAACTAAAGACATGGCTGTTTAAATCGCCCAGCCTGGACTGATGGGGTTTGATTATTTTAATGAGTTTTAACATACGTTTAATTTGTATTTTAATATGTTTTTATCTGGTTTGATTTTAATTGTTGTGAGCCACCCTGAGGTAGGGTGGCATACAAATCAAATCAAATCAAATCAAATCAAATCAAATCAAATCAATCAATCAATCAATCAATCAATCAATAAATAAATAACATACAAAGAGGGAACAACGACGGAAACTGAATGAACATGAGAAAACATCGTCACTGCCACTGGGTGTTAGGAGTCAGCTTCATTTACTTTATCTGGTTGTTGTGTGTACAGAATACAAACACAGAAGTTCTGTAACCAGTTCCACCCAGTCCAGGTAACAGAAGCAGACCATGATTTTTGTTTGATGTTAAAAAACAACAACCTTGCTCAGTGCATTTGTTTTGAAACTCATCCGTTTTCATTGATTTATTTTTTCAAGGAACTCGTTTTACTTTCAGCATTTACCACAGACGCATCCTTTAGGTGGCTGGCTAAAACATACACAAATAATCCACACCATTCGCATTTCATATGGCCTGAAGCCATATAAACAAGCAGCTAAGCATTAGAGCCTGTCTGTGGCTTCAGATTTTACGTGCTACCCTCACAGCATATCTGAGCTCTGCTTCTGCCTGGATGGGATGTCATACCGCCTGTCAAGAGAGAGTTGATGGCGAAATGCCTTGACACCCGGGGAGGTGTAAAGAGGCTGCCACTCAGGGAAGCATGACTGAGACAAGAATAGATTCCGTTTGGAGAAAGCAGGCGGACTGAAGCAGTCTACGCAGTATCATTAATTACTCTGGGGAACCTGATGTCTATGCACTTGTGGGCTGGTAATGAGGGATACTGCTGTTCACAGCCACCAATTAAGGTACAGGCTGTTAACTGACACTGCTTCAAGAAATTGCCCAGCTCTATTTCTAAATCTACACAAATGAGCAAGATTGTTTCTCACATGCCTTCCCTCCCCACCACTTCCCCCAAAATAGAATGATTATATTTCACCTCGGTGTGTGCACCTCTTTCTGCTGAATGGTCAGGACCTCAGGTTCATAAAGACCCATGAAGAGCCATTGCACTAGCCCAGGGCTCTGATTCATAAAAGGCTCCACCAAGAGCCATTGTGCTAGCTCAGTATTGTGGCCTGTGAGAGAGGCACATCTGGATTCCATTGACTTCTTTTTCTTACTGTTTTTAGTGGGTTCACCTAGAAGTCCTGTTAGCAAGACAACTCTGACTCTCATCAGCATCACCAGCTGTGTCATTGGTCTGGTCTGTGCTTCTCATGTGAGTTGTCCACTTGTGGTCAAGATAACACTTCATGTACCGGAGCATCTTATTGCTGATGGTAAGCCACTTTTCTTGTCACTTCTACTGTCAGATCAGTATTAGATGTAACATACATGTTAATGTTTGTTACTAGAGCATACTGTGAAACTCGGACATGTATTTGTACATCGGTCAGGTAAAAAAAGAACTACTTTTGACTGATCTTTCTCATTGGCTTTTGCCTAGAGCATGTAACAACAGTGTAACATCTTCATTAGTCTTCATTAATTGGGCATCTTTCAGATTTTCTAGGATTGCAGTTTCCAGGATTTCTACTTTTAACTCAAACTGAAAATTCTGCATGTTGCAATCCTGACACATCTGGAAAGCACCAAATTGAAGAAAGCTAACATCCTCCAAACCTGTTGACTATTTATCCTTTCCTATTAGTTGTAGATACATACGTGAATATAGTCATGAATAAATCCATAAAGAACAGATTAGAATTTCAAATGGTCATCCTGTATTTGTTTATTGTATTTCTGTGCCTCCTGATACCTTCTGTTCTAATTACTACAACTCCCAAAACATCTTACAAAGATCAGTAGCATGGCTGCATCTACTCTCAGACATACAATTTAAGAAGCACACCATTCCAAGAAAAAGAATGGGAGAGGAGGAGGATTTCTGCATAACAGTTGGTACCCTCCCTGTTCTATTCACGTTGCCTCCAGAAAACTATATAAAATGTGTATCTGGGTAGGTTTCATTTGCAATTAAGGTTATGGCTCCTGAACATGGTGCACATTGGTTATTGTCTTTGTGAAGAGCAAATCTCATTGCCCTGATTTGTATCCAACCCACTCTGCCCTATTAATTTTCTGGATCAAGTTATTCTGGGAGATTAATGTACCCTTAATAGTTTGTGGATCCAGGAACATAAGTAATCCTACAGAATTGTTTTCTATACTTTTACCATATTTATGTACATACATATTAGTTCCCTTCTTTCAGATTTGAAATGGGTATTTCCCATTCCCTGAAAATAAGCCCTCCCCAAAAATATTTAAATGCATGCGCAGCCAGTCCCTGGCATTTCCTCTGGTTTCCTTAATGCAAAATAATAAGACCTCCCCGAAAATAAGGCCAAGCACTTATTTTGGGGTTCAAATAAATATAAGATAGGGTCTTATTTTGGGGAAAACCCGGGTATGATTTTTAATATTGTAAGCCACCCAGAGTCACCACAATAAGATAAGGGGATATGTAAATCAAATACATACATACATACATACATTGAACCAGTGATTATGTACAATTTTCACCAAGAGAAGGCAGTAGGCTTATAGATCAAAAGGGCCCTGGAGGAAACATATTATGTGGACTCCCTTTAGCCTGGATTCACATGTGTTAGTCACATGTGTAGATGACCCAGTGGCAACCAAAGATAGGGGTAATGTCTGGATCCTCTGATTTCTTGGTGGCTTTCAATATCATCAGCCATAGTATTCTTTTGCACCATTTTAGGGGATTGAGGGCACAGTGCTTCAGTGGTTCTCCTCCTTCCTCTAAGTACAATTCTATTGAGCACCATTAATGGGAGAAAGAGATATTTTCTGAAATCCCTGATTTACAAGATGCCTCAGGTTTGATCTTGTTCTCGCTCCTATTTAGAATCTACATGAAGCAGGCCCCCAACTTTTGGGGCATGAGGGACTAGTTCTGTGGAGATAGGTTTTTCCACAGACCAGAGGGGGCGTGGTTTTGTGTGCTGCCTGCATGCCACAGATGGAGCTTCACTTGTTTGCAGAGTTTCTGGCATGCTGCAGACCGGTACCGGTCCATGGACCAGGGGTTGGGGACCACTGTGTTAGATCATCTGTTAGGATGAAGTTAAATATCATAAGTAAATTGGTAATACTCAATTATACAACTCTACTATGAGCTGCCCAAGTCAAGGTTCCTTCTCAGTGCTTGGTGGCTGTAAGGATGTGGATGAGGGGAAACAGGTTCCTACTTAACCCTAACAATATCAAGTGATTGTGGGTTTTGCTCCCTACCCGAGATCTTTAAGCATTCTCCCAGACTGAGTAGGACTACAATCTAGAAGTCCACTTGGATTCATGACTCCTGCTCAACAAGTTGGGGAAGCTATGGCCCTGAGACCCTTTGCACAAATTCATCTTGTGCACCAATAGTGTGTGTTTCTGAATCAGTAGCCCATGTTCTTGCTCTTTCATGCATTGGTCATTTCCCATTTGGATTGCTGCAATGCATTCTACTTGAGGATCCCCTGAAGAACATTTGTAAACTGCAGCTGATTCAGAATACAACAGTAGGAGCAGTTGGGTACTCCTCAGTATGCCTATATAACTCCTCCACCTGATTAATTATGGTGGTTCCTAGTCAGTTTCCGGATGCAATTTAGTTGTCCCCACTGAGATTCCAAGTGCCACAATCCTCTTGGCTTTTCAGAAGACTCTAGAACTTGGCACTTAACTCAAACTCTAGGATATTAATGTGGTGGCACAGTCCATGTTTGTTCTGCTTGAATATATAGTGTTTACTTCACATCTTTACTGTTTTTATTGTTTTGCTATTATTATTTTTTGCTTCTTATATTTACCCTCCAGGACTGACTGAAAGATGAGTGAGTGATCATATAAATTTGCATAATAAATACATTAAAAAGTTAAGAAATTCTGACTTCCCACACTAATGTGTCAACACAATTTGTTTTAAGTTGATGTGTGTGTGTGTGTGTGTGTGTGTGTGTGACCTCATATATGGTGACTCTGGGTAGTCAACAAAACCAATAATTAAAATGTAAAAATCAATAATATATAATTGTATATATAGTACAAAAATAATATAAAATCATTTTAAACAAACACCGGTAATTGCCATAAGTAAAATTCAAATTTAGAAAGGGCTACTAAAGATGTCATAAATGGTGCAACTAACATGCAGACCCTCTGCTTTGGAGGATACCAAAACCTAATGGAAAAAAACTGTTCTGAAGACTTAAAGATTGTGGCTAATGGTAATTTAAGGGGAATGATGTGGTTTCACTCAGAGGATGGAGGTTACAGCAGAAAAGGCTTGCATCCAGGGGTGGGTTCTACTTACCTTTACTACTGGTTCGCAATGGGAGCACGCACATGTGCTCACTTTGCTCACCTAAGCTTCTGCGCATAAGCAGATCATCAATTATGATGTCTGGGCGGGTGGGCGGAGCCTCCCGTCACTTTTACTACCGGTTCTAAAGAACCAGAAGAACTGGGAGCAACCCACCCCTGGTCCCATCAGATAGAATGCCGTAGTAGACAGGATCCACAACAGGTGTCTCCTGCTGGTCCTTATTGATAGGTAGAAATAATTGGAAAGAGGCAGTCCCTCAGATAGCCCCATGCCACAAATTGCTTTAAAAGGCAAAATCAGCATCTTGAATTACACCTGGAAGCAAACCAGCAACAATGCAGCTCACAGAGCAGATGTGTAACATGTTCCTTCTAGGACAGCCAAAACTATCTGGGCTGCTGCATTTTGCACCAGGTGAAACTTCAAAATACTCTTCAAGGGCAGTCCCATGCAGAACACATTGCAGCAGTCCATATAACATAAAAAACTTGGCACCAAATTCAACCACCAACTCTACAGAATGCATTAATCTTTAAATGAGGTCTTGCTGTCTGCAGAATGCTGTCTGGTAGGAAGAACGGAGATGGATTTCTGTACTGTGGCACTTCTCTTTTTAAATTATTTCGGTTCTGAAATACAGCAGGCCTCAGTTCTGTTGTGTTTCAGATGTCATATTATTATGTTTGCTTTCTCCAGTCATTTAATCTTTTCTTCCCCCTCCTCTTTTTTTAATAGATAGTTTTTAATTCTGAATTTATCCTGCATTTATTTTGATCTTATTGTATATTTTTAAGACTGTTTTAAAGTGCTTCAATATTTTTAAAATACAAATACATTTAATAAAAATGTGCTTAAGCACTATGTAAGAGGTTTAAGTGAGAGCTTTGCATTGGAGAATGTGGGAGATTCATTGAGAATATGATAATATGGTAAAATAAAGATACATTTTTATAAAACATCAACAGATTTTATTTTAAAGCATAGGCAAACTTTGAGTCAACATGTTTACAGAAAAAAAAATGTGGCTTATGGGTATCAGAGCCCCATTTTCCTTTGCAAATGCTTCTCAGAACAGTGGAAGCAAATGCCGCCCCTACAAAAATGCTGAGCTGTGTCCCACTCACATTGTGGCAGGCGTAGGCCCCCTCACCTTCTGTTGGCAGATGAAATGGGGAAAAAAAGCAGACTCTGACAACATGTATGTCACATTTGTCATCTGATAAATGAACAACCAATAAGAGATTTTATCTTGGAAACCATTGCTAATTCAACATTGGCCTTAGGGGAAGTCAGTCATACCATATTGGATGGATGTGTTACATAACTTACTCTCCAATATCAAAAATGGAAAGATTAGTTCTTGTAGAAAACCAAATGTCAATTAGATTGAAGCAGAACTTTGCTTCCTAATGGGAAACTCTTGTGTCCCAATAATTTGTTTATTAAGGTATGCAATTTCTTACTGTGATCTGAAGTGAAACAGTCTAGACAGATGTTCTGACATCTAGGCCAAGATGCTTGTGAAAGAGGACAGAAGTAGAGGATAGAGAACAGATCAGATTGATGGAGCAACTGACCCTGATTGGAGCAAAGAAATTAGTTATTTTAGCTGGAAATTTAATAGGAGATTTTGTCCTTGGAGTAACCCAGTTTCATGGATCTCTGTTGAAGAGTCAGCTGGCTTTCATGGTATCAAATTTACTTCTAAACTTTCTGTTATTTGAACTATTTTGTTAGCCTAGATATGATTTTGTAAAAATTGTCCTAAAATCATGATAGGAGATAATAGACACATGTACAACCATATCTCTTAGAGATGGACATGCTAAGTCTAAGGCATCTGCAATGATCAATGGCTGTATCTTCAAAACAGGATAATTGGGGATGTTTGAAGTGGGTCCTGGAAGAGTTATTTCCAGACCATCTCCAGAAATGAAAGAAAATATGTCTGCCTAATGTTTTTGTTCAAAGAGAAGAACCAATGCTTGTTAAGTACATTAGAAAAGTAACCTTGAGGATATTTTCACATACAAATTATAAAGTGGATTTTAAGTTACATTAGACAAAATATTCATTCACATTATAAATCAATTTTCTTTTGTATGTGACATAAATTAGAGGGAAGACTTTTTTTTTTTTTAATTTGATTTATATGCCGCCCTTCTCCGGAGACTCAGGGCGGCTTACAGTGCATTCAGCAATAGCCTTCATACTTTTGTATATTTATACAAAGTCAGCTTATTGCCCCCACAAACTGGGTCCTCATTTAACCTACCTTAGAAAGGATGGAAGGCTGAGTCAACCTTGAGCCTTGGAGAGATTCGAACCAGCAGTAAATTGCAGGCAGCTGTGTTAATAACAGGGTGCTTTAAACCACTGTAGTACCAAGGCTCTTCTTAGGGGAGCCTTAGACTTAGGGGAAATTTAGGTCTCATCCATGAAAATGCCTTCAGTGCTCCTCTTTCAGAATGCAGTTTCTCCATTTTCTGTTGCAGGAAGCCGATTTATCTTATTAGAGGGGAATCAACTGGATGCCAGTGACTGGTTAAATCCTGCCCAGGTGGTTCTTTTCTCCCAGCAAAATTCTAGTGGGCCGTGGGCCTTGGATATGTGCGCCCGACGACTTCTCGACCCTTGTGAACATGAGTGTGATCCTGAAACTGGTAGGTGGGCGCAATATGGTGATTGACATGTATCTGGGGGATTGTCAAGTTCCCAAAACTATCAAAAACTGTGGTGGAAAAATGACCTTCACATTTCCTTTGTTTCTGTATGGTGATAACAAAAAGTCATATGAAGTTCCCTTATCTTGAATCCAATTTTTCTTCTACCTAGCAGACTATTTTTTGATGGATTATGTTACACTCTCTGATTTAGGCTGATGATCTTTCCTATGAACTATGCACTCAAATTTTATATATGTTCTATTAGGAGGAGAACCTGAAAATATAAGAGTTTTTAAATATTTATTTATTATTTATTTATTGGTTCGATTTATATGCCGCCCTTCTCCGGAAACTCAGGGTGGCTTACAATGTGTTACGCAATAGTCTTCATACTTTTTGTATATACCTGCTTAGTAGGGCTTTCGGCTCCCCCTAAGCGGTGTTCTTTTTTATACAAAGTCAGCTTACTGCCCCCACAATCCGGGTCCTCATTTTACCTACCTCGAAAGGATGGAAGGCTGAGTCAACCTTGAGCCTGGTGAGATTTGAACTTGCAGTAATTGCAGGCAGCTGGTGCTAGATTCTACCATATCTTCAACAGGCACAATTATGAATTTCCAGGTGCTACCTCCTAAATCTAGAGATGGTGTATCTCAGGAGATTGGTCCAGTCTTCTCTCTTCTGCACATGCTCACAGGAGGCATGTTTGTTCCCCTTTGATGTGATGTGACTCATTTGCCCATTGTGTCTGCATTTCACTTATTCACAACCATCTGCCATAGCAGCTGCCAACTGTAGCAGGCCTCTGAGGGGGATGGTTTCAAACCCTCCTCGGGCTTATTTCTAAACTCATAGATTTTTGCCAGCATTCTGTAAAAATGGTTATGCCTTCCAAAAAAGAAAAAAAATGGACAAAATAAGTACTTCTGTTGTATCTTTTGTTCTTTTTGGCTATAATCTGACTAAATAGCTATGTAGTTAGTATTTAAAGCATACAACTGTGGAGTCCTCTTCTTCTTCTTCTTATATAATATATAATATAATTCAAAAGACAGAACTTACTTCCAACTAATTCAGTTGCAGCCTTAATGTAGGCTTTCAGAAATATCATCTAGGGAGAGGAGTAAAGAAGTGCATTCAGTGGAATTATCACATGTCTGTAAGCCTTAAAGCACAAATTAACTTATGATTGCAATTGCAGATTTTTTGGCATCATAATAATATATGGCAGGGAAACTCAAACTACTTCATTGCTTGAGATGCAGGATAAAATGGGACCTCTCCCTGCTGCCTGTTTCAAGTCACTTATGGAGCTAGAGTTGTCACTGAATCTTATTTTAATGCTAGCAATGTCTAACTTTAATTCCATCACCTGGGAGAAGCAGTCTGGTTGGGTGTTCAAGTGACCAATCATACTGCCAATATCTCAATCTACTGTTACCATTTGCAGCTTTGATATCTGAGTAAAAATAATCATCTCCAAATGGACACACAAAAATATAGAACTCTGTTTGTTCTAGTGGTTAAGGCACCAGGCTAGAAACCAAGAGTTCTAGTACAACTTTAGGCATAAAAACTATCTAGGTGACCTTGGGCCAATCACTCTTTCTCAGCCCAGAGAACTTATTCTACAGGGTGGTTATTGGGGGTAAAAATAGGAGGAGGAAGAATTGTTATGTATGTTTGCTACTTTAAATTATTCATAAAAATAACAAAGGCAGGATATATGTATGTATGTATATAAAATGGAAATCCTGAGTAGGGATCATATATGTGTGTGTATCTTTTTGCAATTAAAATGGAAATCGTGAGTAGGGATCACACACACACACACACACACACACACACACAAAAGCCTGGCCAAGTAGAGAATGAAACAATCATCAGAATAGGGATTCACTTCTGAATAAGTGGCTGGTTTGAATGGGACAGTGGGAGAGCTCCACTCTTGTGGCCTTTCCACTGAGTAAGCATCTTTCTTTTCTCTGCTTTGCACCTGTTGGCAATTTCATTCTAGCAATACGAAAGGAGAACAATTTCTTTCTGTCAACTTTCCTTTTATAGTTTTATACTCTTTTGTTATGCTCTCCTCTCACAGTGTGATGCACTGTGACCTTTTATGTATTTCCTCAAAAGTGCGCCCTACTACATTCAGTGATTACAGCTTTATTCCTTTCTAAACTAATGTAATTCCTTTAGGATGAAAAGCTTGGTAAAGCTGGGTTTTCAAACAGGAATGCCTGAGAACTGATCTGGAAAAAGTCCCTGAAAGGCCCAGTAGGGTTCCAAATAATTATTGTGTTTTAATTTATAAAGCAGTGACCTGGGTGGCATAAAGGAAGGAAAGGGAATAAAATAAAATAAAAAGTATAACAATGTAAAAAGTTATTGCAAAAGTTATTGGTATCTCATTTCTTTCATTTAGTAGAAAATGCCTCACAACTGATACATTGGATGACTTTTTTATTATTATGACTGTGTTACTGGATACGTGTATGTTGCTGCTTGCAAGATGCCTAGAGTCATAATGACTGAATCAGTAAAAACATTCATATTTTAAAAAATTAATTGCAGGTTCCAAATAAACAAATCAATATTTTCAGATTCATCAATAAATAAGGGAATGTGAGATTGTGACACAGATATTGTGTGAAACTGGAATCAGTCATATTTGCTTGCTTGCTTGTTTGTGTAGGGTAAGAGATCAGAGGCCGGTCACAGAACAGGCATCAAGTATTACACTAAAAATGTCCAGGCTCCTTTGCTTGTTGATCCTTTGATTCTTTGCCTATTTTTTTTTTTTTTTTTTTTGCCATTTTATGTCTTGTTCCTAGCTGTATAATACACTGCATGTGATAAGGTGGCAAGAATGGTATGCAGGAAGCTTGTAGAAAAGCATTGTGGTCTTGTGCTTTTTATCTCCAATTCGATTCCTAGTAATTCCTAGCATGGCATTTTTCTTTTTCCACTCCTGCTGCCAGCAAAACTCATTCCCTTTTCAGAGTTGTTACGTAACTCATTTATTATTCTCTTGTTTTTGTTCTTTTACTTCAAGGTGAGTGTCTTTGCTATGAAGGTTACATGAAGGATCCAGTGCACAAACACCTTTGCATCCGGAACGAATGGGGCACAAACCAAGGGTAGGTGATTTTCATAGCTCTGCCAGATTGTTGCTTAGCCTGAAGTGAAGGCGATAGCACCTCAAGCAGCTCAGCCATCAAGCAAGACAGCTTGGAAAAGTTAGAGAGATGCAATAAAAGCCAAGTGATGCCTGTAACGAAGTATTCACAATGTCCTAGACTTCAGTTTACCTTGTAGGGAGAGAGCTGTTGAAGTTAGAGGATGGCTGATGTTAAACAAAGATGCAACTAATAAAGTTTCAGGACTTTGAAAGTAATAAACATTTTATTTCATGAAGAATAGCTCAAGGCTTCATATCTGCTGTGACCAACATAGAGCAGGTACAGTTGGGCCCATTCAACCAGATGCATGGTGGATAAACTAAGGTGAAGAAATTCTCTGTAACTTCAATTATCAAGGTTGCTGGTGGTCAGTAGGTCTGTGGACTTCAAGTCAAATGTTGACTGTTTCATTTAAAACCCTAAACTGCATGGCACTGGGATGAATCAGACGGCCCTTTATTAAAATTGAATGTGCCTGGTCCAGTAATTTAGTGAGAGAGTTTTATTTCAGGTCGCTTTTGGTACCAGGTGATTATGACTACCTGGCTTTTTGAGGGGAGAGGGTGTTTTTCTTTCTGTGTTTATTTTGCCAGTTGGATTTTGGTCTGGATTTGTTATTATGTTCTTGTTTTCTTTTTGTTAGAGTTTGTATATCATCATATGTCCATTGGCACTAGGATAGGTTATAGGTACAGTAAAAGAAATAGAGAGCCAGTTTGGTGTGGTAGTGAAGGCACCAGGGTAGAAAATAGGAATCTCTTAAGTGCTAATTTTGTCTTAGGTAAAAGCCAGTGGGTGATCTTGAGCCAGTCCTTCTCTCTCAGCCTTAAGAAGGAGGCAATACAAACCACTTGTGAAAATCCTTGCCAAGAAAACTGCAGGGCCTTGTCCAGGAAGCCACCAAGCGTCAATCCTGACACAAAGGGATAAAAAAGAAGAAAAAATACATACGTCCAGGAGCTGCTTAGAGATGCCTCAAACCGTAAAATGGGCAGCATATAAATTTAATAAATAAATAAAATGGAAAAGAAAGGTCTACTGTGTCAACAAGAAAAGGCTGGCAGTGTTTTTCCATAGTGTGTGGCATCTCCTCTATTCAGTTGATGGGAGAGGGAAACAGAGATTATGAGAAGATTCACATGAGCCATATTGATTGTTCTTTGCAATGTTAGATAAATTTGCCTCATCTCAGTCTCCATTGTTGGGCTGGATCACAGTGAGCAACTGCTTGTTCTGATCAAGTGGATTCTTCTCAGCCAGAATGTGACTGAACAGAATCCATCATGGAACATGGTTAATACTTCCTTCAGGATGGGATGTATTCCTTTTTGCTTCAAGGAAACATTTACAATAACTCTGTTTGAAAAAGCTCTACCTTGATCTAAGAAGATTATTAAGTCACACTAAACTATTCCTTTCTTGGTTTAAGTAACTTAGAAGATCCAGATTCATTTGATTAAACTGACTATCTGGATTCATTGTCATTCGTTTGGGACTTGGAACTGGGGAACTTCCTTAATCACCTATGCCTATATAGGAAAAGTGCACCTTGCTAGTTTCCTTGAGTGTCTTGGCAGATTTTCATAAAATCAATTATGGTATTTTTCTGGATTATTTTCTGATATTGCCCTAAGGAACACTAATTAGTTCTGGACATCCTATCTTATTGGAGCCAATGCGTCAGTGGTAACCTTTTCTGAGCTGGTTGGACTTAGTGACAGTTATTCTCTCTTTATTCCATCTTGACTGCAGTGGTGAACTTTATGGGGGTCTTACCTTGAAAGGTGTTTTGAAATTGTAAAAGACTGGGACTTGGCACCTAATGTATGCAAGACATAGCACTTGTGTGCTTCCTAGGGATAATTTAAGTGTTTTAATGTTGTCTCTTTCATTGTGAACTTGCTAAAATTTTAAATTAAAAGAAGAGAACATTTGGACAATGTTCCTGTGCTGGAAGCTCTGTTACAGAGGGAAATATGTCGCCCCCCCCTCCAATGTGTAGGAAAAAGGAAAGTAGACCTTTATTTCTAGCCTTTTAATTGATTTTTTAAGTTTACTCATTGTTGCAATTTAAAACATTATATTTTCATTTCCTATATTGTGATTTTGAGCATAAATGGGTGATTTAATTCGTACTAATGAATACATTGGAATGGGCATCTGCTTGTCTTTGCATTACATTCTTGCATGTAGCCCTGATCACTGAAAACAAAGGACTGTATGATTGCTTGAGGTAAAAGGAAAGGATAGTCACAAAATTTACCATTATGTCCATGTATTCTAGAAACTCAACTTGATATAAGATTACAGAACTCAATTTCATTAAACCCCAACACAAGTTGATAGAGCTTCATTTCTTTTTTACAATTTGTCCTGTTTATAGAATTACTGTGAAATCAGACTTCGGAGTGCAGTGATTTCACCTTCCCTATATTTTAAGGTGACCAGATTTTAACATTGGTAAAGAGGGACATTGTGGGCGTGGCTTATTTTGTGGGCATGGCTAGCTGGTCATGTGACTGGGTGGGCGTGGCTAGCTGGTCATGTGACCGGGTGGCCATGGCTATGTGTATAGGGTAAGGTGAACAGATTTTAACATTGGTAAGAGGGACACCATTGTGGGCGTGGCTTATTGTGTGGGCGTGGCTTGGAGGCCATGTGACTGGGTGGGCGTGGCTAGCTGGTCATGTGACCGGGTGGCCATGGCTATGTGTATAGGGACTACTCAGAGGGCTGGAAAGTCATTTCTGACAGGTCCTCACACTTTTGACTGGTCCTCACACTTATGACCATCCTCACATTTATGCCCGTGCAGCATTCTTAACAACCATGTCACTCATTTCACAATGCTTCTCTTCACCATGGTGACAAGATAGGGCAAAAACGTAAAATGTGAGGACAGTCGTAAGTTTGAGGACTGGTCAAAAGTGTGAGGACCAGTCAAAAATAACTTTTTCAGCCCTCTGAGTAGTCCATATGCACAAAAGGACTAACCAGAGAGCTGAAAAAAGTCATTTCTGACAGGTCCTCGCACTTTTGACTGGTCCTCACACTTATGACCATCCTCACATTTATGCCCGTGCAGCATTCTTTACAACCATGTCACTCATTTCACAACTGCTTCTCTTCACCATGATGACAAGATAGGGCAAAAATGTAAAATGTGAGGACAGTCGTAAGTTCGAGGACTGGTCAAAAGTGCGAGGACCAGTCAAAAATAACTTTTTCAGCCCTCTGAGTAGTCCATATGCATAAAAGGATACAGTAATAGAGAGGGATGAAGGAAGGGAAGGGAAATTAGAGTAGGAGTGACGGTTAAGAGAGGGAGGAAGAGAGGAGGAGAAGGAGAAAGGAAGAGGAAGTAGGGAGGAGAAAAAGAGGGTGGGGGGAAGAGAAAGTAAGAAGGAAAGAAAAGAGAGGTGGTAGGTTTGAGGAGAAAGATTGCTGTACAATAAAAAAGATGAAAGGGAAGAAAGCCAACCCCAAACAAATATAAAGATATTAAGATAAAGAATGAATTGTTAAACTTTAAAGAATAAAAGAGAACAAATATGAATAAATAGCAATAATTAGAAACACACATACAAACATACAATGTATTTTCTTTGAACAGAATATTTGGCTGGTTCACAAATTTAAACAGTGTTTAGTCATTTCAATTAAATTTACAATTTCTATATTTCCTTTTTGCCATATTTATTCCTCATCTATTTTTTTAAAAAAACAATATTACCCTTCATCCTCATCTCTAATCTTAATCAAATTCAATTTTTCCCTTCTATTCTATTTTATACCCCTTCCCATTGTCATCTATTTTTATATCCATCCTCACATTGTTTAATTATATAATTATGTAATACAGTTGTTTAATACAAATTCAACATTTTAATATAAATCAATTAGTTATATAACTATCTTTTTTGTATATTAATCAATATGAACATGAATATTCCAATTATTTCCATGCAATCCAATTTCTTACAAATCAATTAATTATACTTACCAATAATAATAAACCAAATAATTTCCCCCATATATTCCTCCAAACCACAACTTAACCATTTCTGCTTTCAACACAGTATACAATTAATAGTATCTCAATTATTACAATTCCCTAGTTAAAAAGAACTTTTTTTTCTTTTGTGTTTTAAAATCTTGAACTCTCCTCTTTTGCCCTAAATAATTTCCCATTGTTTACACCTACCTTTTTTGGTGAGGAAAAGGAAAATAAATCTGCTGCCTAATTTTCCAACGTTGCAAGCAAACACCAAAGCCAACAGCCAGTTTCACTTTCGTTTTGAGCTTGGTTTGCACAAAGAGGAAAAAAAAACTGCTGGAGCAATTTAGGAAGAGCAGAGCCCTGCGCAAATCAGCTGAGAGGGGGAAGCCGAGCTAATCAACGTAGGGCGGCCCTTTGAAGCCCCGCGGCAAGAGTTTAAACAGGTTTTTCCCCTCTAGCCAGCAGCGGGGATTCAGGAGGTAGAATGAAAAATCGGGACTTTTTTAAAACGCCGCGGGACGCGGGACAAATTGCTCAAAAGCGGGACTGTCCCGCCAAAAGCGGGACGTCTGGTCACCTTACTATATTTAATAGTTGACCTGAAAGGCAAGTCTGGGCTTGGTAGTCAAGTCTTAAAATTTATGTTGTTTGGTGACAGAATTTCAAAGAATTATTAATCTCTCTATGGTTGTATCCTTTGATTATAGGAGATTATAGAAGAAAATATGTATTTATTTTATTACCTGTGCTTATTTCACTCATGGTATATTTCTATATTTGAGAGCAAAAAATACTAAAAAGGAGAGAGACCACACTGCCCCCTAGTGCTTAGTGCCTACTAATGGAAAATAAAGCTTGCAGAAGCAATTATGAATCCTAGGGTTGCCAGATCTTTGAGCAAACATTTGCCTTTAAACATTTCAACGCAGAAATCTTTGTGTGTAGCACAGATTTATAT